TATAGTTCAAGTTAAGAAAAGCTTAGATTATTACTTAAATTTTATGTATATTAGTATGATATTGTGAGGAAAGGTTATTTATTAATACAAACTTTTATCTAACAACAAGAAAAACTCGCCATTTTCTTTTTTTTTCGAAACGACACGTAAATTCATAATTATTACAGAAACAACACTGACACTATTGAGAGACGATGGATGGATTGCAGGATAGTGTGTGGGCTACATACTGCTTTGCAGTCCTACACGGCGGACTGCCAGGCAGGATAGTGAATGGGCCGCTTGAGGGAAGTTTTAGTCAAAAAATGGTAATTAAAAAGTTAACAAGTCTACCTAATAATCTTTAAGGTGACAAGGGGCCCATTCACTATCCTGCCTGGCAGTCCGCCGTGCAGTCCGTTGCTCTATGCAGGATCGTGAATGGTGTTGCAGGCCTGCACAGTTTCTGGCAACATCGAGCAGGACGCGCCTTGCATCCTGCAAGGGTTGCAGTCCGTCGCGCAGGAGCGTCAGTGGTTTGGCCGTCCTGCATAGCGGCAGTTTTGCCATATGAGGAAAAAAAATGCACTAAGCCCTTAGCAAAATTTGCGCTATGTTATATGAAAGTATGGATGCTAAATTACGATTATTTTTTCGTAAATTTACACAGTAAATATTTACAATAGAAATTATGTAACAGGGAATTTTTCTAGAAATATTTTTAGGAATTAAATTTTATTCACATGTTAGAAAAATATCTACACAGGACTGGGTACTTTATTTTAAACAAAAAAAAAACGAGTGCATCCCGGGAAGCCCGACTGATGTGATAACTAAAACTAAGCCAAAAAACTTTTTTATATATAGTTCAAGTTAAGAAAAGCTTAGATTATTACTTAAATTTTATGTATATTTTTTTTATTTTATTAATTTTATGTATGATATTGTGAGGAAAGGTTATTTATTAATAAAAACTTTTATCTAACAACAAAAAAAAAACAAAGCAGAATCGCTATTTTCTTTTTTTTTTCGATACTTCACGTAAATCCATAATTATTACAACAATATCACTGACACTATGATGGACGGCTTGCGGGATAGTGTGTGGGCTACATCCTGCTTTGCAGTCCTGCACGGCGGACTGCCAGGCAGGATAGTGAAAGGGGCCCTTTAATATATTTGCATTAAATGATCGTGTCAATCACTTCGTACGTGCTAATGCACAGAGCTAATGTCAAAATTTTAATTTACACATGGCATGTTATTCGTTGTGGCGATCTAAGGCGACAATGTTTAATAGCTGACGTATTGACTCTTGCAGATTATGATGATGACATGGTCTATATGCCCTCGATACCGAACTATACAAAAATAAAAAACAATTTACACAAAAGTCGGCTGTCACTGTCAGACAGACAGCAACATATATAAGACACGGACAGCAGTCTATCAAAGAGTACTTCTATGTAGGCTTGGGCGTTGGGGGTAATTTTTGACATCAATGCCACATCGTTGTTTCCCAAACAACATCGATTGTTGAAAACAACAATGTTGACATTGGATTACGGCACGGATGGTGCTATCGTAGCTAGTTATCTTTTACCGTTAGCGTTTATATAGACAAACGTTGTTCTTAAAGTAAAGACTGTTGTTGAAACAAATGGAATAAAAATTAGACAGGTATTTGGGTTGATGAAAAAAGGAGAGGAAGAGGAAATTTTTAAAATTAAAAAATATTATTTCATATTTTACAAATTTGGAGGTGGTGAGCCGAGTCATTCAAAACCTACACAATATTTTCTTAAACAAAAATTATTAATTTGAAAGAAAACAACTAAGCAAAATGCTGAAGTAATTTTAAACAGTGTATCGGAAGGTTACCGACCTAATTGCGGCACGGATGCCAACTTATGAGTTTTCTTCTTAAATTTAGGAACAAAAATTTACAATAGAATTTTTTAGGAGGAGTAATTTTTTGGGAATCTTTTTAGTAAAAAAGAATGAATTTACATTTTTTTTTAAAAAAAAGTACATAATTTTAAACACAAAATATAATGTAATAGTATTGGCAGCATTGGCCTATGTAGTATTTTAAATTGTTCCGCCATAAATTCTTATTGTGAATATACAGCTACTCATAATATATTAAATTCATTTAATAAGTAATATAAAATGCCAAATGGTGAGAAAATTGCCATCGGATTTGTTCAAAAATATACAGCTAAGTGGGAAAAAGACAATTAATTAAAGGTCGGTATGTTTCATTCAAATCTTTTATAATTGAATGATACTTATTCCCATTATTTATTTTCTGATTCTTAAAAATAATGAAAATGATTATAACGTCACAATACCCAGATAATTAAATTTTCCGATAATTATTCTAGCTTGTTTGATAATTTAAAAAAAAAAGCTGACTTTTTTTCATATAGGAATTTTTTTTAAACAGTGGATTTTAGGAGGTTTTTGAACTTCTTTAGAAGGTTTTTTTCTTAGAGCTGCGGCCAGTTATTATTCATTTATTTTATTCGGTTATCTTTCATTATTAATCATTTTAGTTTGTTATATAGTACGGCAAAACATTTTTATCGTATTTACAGGTAAAGATTGCAACAATTTGCATTCTTTTCCTCACCTGAAAATGATAGTGACAGATTTAAAAGCGAGTGAATATTATAAAAAACGAAATAAAGTTCGCAAAACATATTTCTGTATTTTATTTACTTTATCCAAAAATAACATCTAGCAAGCTTGTATCCAGATACAGTTTTGTATACAATGTTATCAAATATAAATTAAATAAATTTCATACACACTATATAGCAAAATGTAGTTGAATACAGCTCTCAACTGTAAAAACAAAATGGTTTTTTTTTGGGCTGGATGAGCCACTGTTGGCCTTAGGGGTCTTTACAGATCCGACGGACTTGAGGTGGCCGGGCGCCCGAGGCGCCTAGCCTGAAACTCGGCGTATTATTATTACGGGTTATGGTGACTAAGCTCGAGGGCTCCCGAGTTAACCTCGGCTCGCGCCGTCTCGCTATTATTTTCACCGGTTTGTGAGGCCGCCAAGCTCTTAGGGCGCTTTGGCGGGCGCTCCATGGAGTTATCAGGCTCAAGGGTCCCGAGAGGGGACCTCGACTTGGGCTGTCACTCAGCACGCGTTTAGCATTCCGATTCGAGGGTGCCCGAGAGGGCCGAACCTCGACTCGATCGGTAGCTGTTATCTGACTGGGGCAATTACTGGGAGCATAGGCGTATATAGCGGGGGGGCCGGGTGGGCCGTGTCCACCCCAGTATCGTCTAGTGCCCACCCCAGGATTTTGGGTTACCGATTCAAAATTCTAGGCTGGACCTATGAAACTCCACAAAAAAAATCATTCCAATTCAATAATATAATACCGAGAATTATATATAATGCCGAGAATTATATATATACATACTTTATATTTAATACTATTATAGAATAAATACGGTTTATTTACTTTCGAATATACGACGTACTAATAAGCTAGAACACAACGAAGCTACTTACAGATTTAAAATAAAATAAAAAAAATGATGGACAGTCATTCTTTAACAAATCTCTTGAGAGAATCACGAATGAATATCTTCAATTAATAATGAATATCTTCAATAGCTTCCCCAGCAGCAGTTCCAGTGCCACTTTTAGTACCAAGTACATCTTTTGATTATGCAAATTCCGCAGTCGATGATTATAAATGAGGTTCACTTCAGACTGACATGGTCAGCCTTTTTCCGAACAAAATTTGGGGAAAAGCTACGAACATTTAACGCACATACTTATAAGAAATATATCAATAGTGATTTTATTTTGGTGTAATAGGAATTAATGTGGTCTAGAACTGTGGTGGTCACTATGGAATTAGAGACATGTAACTCCCTAGCCATTCTAGATGTATTAGTGATCCGAAATCTTAACAACACCCTGAGCCATACTGTGCATAGAAAGGAAACCCATACAAATACACATGGTAAGTGTACCTCTGGCCCAATCGATCGATGCGTTTTTAAACATAGATCTCGAAAATGGGAAGGCTTTTATGGATAATTACTACGACATTCTTCGAATTGATAGAACCCTTCTAGAAGCAGAATGCTTAATTATAAATAAAAAAAACGTAATAAAAGAAAATAATATTGAATTTGACGTTCTTAAGGAACACCCTGAACAAGATTTATCCCCAAAGCTGCAATTGTGATCCCAGTCAGTTCAGCCGGATGCGAGCGGAGCTTTTCACCAATGCGGAGAATTAACATTTAGTAGAGATCTACCATCGGAGAAGAGACGTTCTTTTCTTCATATAGGAAACTAGTGACCTGCCGCGGCTTCGCAAGGGTGCAATGTAGATTTCTAATTTCTCTACTATAATATGCACATATACTACATGTTATTCCACCTTCCACTTGAATACTTTCTATTGCTGAAAATCGAAGTATTTTATATAAATTGAAGTATTTTAAAAATTCTAAGGGTACAAACATCTCAAGCGACTTTGTATCATACTATGCGAAGATGCGAGTAGGTCGCATAGTGTTCAATTTTTTTTTGTAGTAAGGGCGCAGGTCCACCCTGAAAAAAAGCCATAGATACGCCAATGACTGGGGGGCTTTCAAAATGGTTAATTAGTATCGGTTTTATACATCTGAAATGTAGTTTGGTCCTGCAGCAAGAGACGGCGCTGTCTCACGAGGAGACTGATGACTCTATATTAATAATGTACTCTTTGCATTTCACCAACGGATGCCAACATCAATGAGAATGTAATCACTAATTATCACTTCACAAATGTAATCACTACGTTTACCAACATCGCAAACTGACATCGGATGTCAACATCGTTGTTACTTTGTTAGAAAAAAATCTGGTCCTGTTTCTCTATTATTACTTTACTCTATGATCTGGTCTTGCTAGTGTTGTGCAAAGAGTACTTTTATATATCTGAAATTGCATTATTGCATTATTATTACTTTTTTTTAATATTTAAATCGGATTAAAAATGAGTTCAAACAAAAATGACGATATAATTTCGGAGAAAATATTGAATACGGCGAGGAAAAATCCAAAGGGAATATCAGATAAGGATATTTTGGCCGCGGTGCCTGAACTTTCTTCCGCAGAGCTTGTAGCAGCAATTAATAAATTATTGCAGCAAGGGCTATTTGATTTGTATAACCAAGGAGGTGCCTTAATATACAGGTGATATGCTCAATAATGTGATAATCACAAAATGTGTATCTTTCTGTTTAAGGCACTACTTAAATCTAGTTATAGCAAATAATTTACTATCTTAGGTTAAAAGCTCAGTCTTCTAAGCAAGCAGTAAAGGGAGCTGACAATGAGGAAAAAGTAGTTTTCAATTTAATTGAAGAAGCAGGTAATAAAGGAATATGGATAAGAGATATAAGAGTGCGCTCTAACCTAGCTAATACACAGTTAACAAAAGTTCTGAAAAGTCTTGAAAGTAAAAAAATTATAAAAGCAGTGAAATGTGTTAATGTAAGTAGAAAATTATTTATTGTAAAGTATGTTATGATAAAATAGTGCACTTAAAATAAAAACTGGCCTGACTGAATATAAGGTAAAAATGTGGCAGAAAACTGGTTCAATACAATTATTGATCATTTGTTCTAATGTACTTATCTCTTTCCCTCTCTCAATTGATATGACTTGTGTTTGTTTTCAGGCATCAAAGAAAAAAGTGTATATGCTTTATAATTTGGAGCCAGACAGATCTATATCTGGTGGGGCATGGTATCAAGATCAAGATTTTGAATCAGAATTTGTAGACATTCTTAACAGACAATGCCTTAGGTTCCTTCAGCAAAGAGCAGACAAAATTAAAAACAACCCTAAAGGGCCCATCATAGGACGGACACAATCATTTGCATCTGCAGTAGAAGTACAAAAATATATAACTGACTTGGGTATCAGTAATGTAAGTAAATATTTTGGGTATGCCTATATTACATGGCCCCTATAAAAGCTAAAACTGCATCATTTAAAATTAAGTTCTTCAAATTTGAATTTGAATTTAATTTTAATTAGTATTCATGTATTAAGTAACAAATTTGTGATACAATATATTTTAGGTAAAGTTAGAGGTAGAAGATGTTATAACAATACTGAATACTTTGGTGTATGATGGCAAAGCAGAGAGCAATGTGTTTCCTGATGGTAGCAAGATGTATAGAGCTATTGAATCTCTTATACCTCCACCGGGTTTGGTACAGGTGCCATGTGGTGTCTGTCCACTTATTTTTAAATGTTGTTCGACTGGACTTATAACACCACAGGCATGCAAATATATGGATGAATGGCTTGAAAATTAAATAATTATAAGTAACCCTGTGTTTCATCTTATCTCCAATTTTTCTTATACCATAGTAACAGAAATACTTTAAAGGCCGACTATCATATGAGCTTTGCATTCCATGAATCAACACGTGTTGATTCATGAAATGCAAGTGATAATATAAAGTAAAATAAAAATTCTTCAATATTGCAAATTGTAATAGTAGTGGCAAAAATAATGTAATACACATTTTCAGTTTCAAAATTTTTGTTAAAACATGTGAAATAAATGAGCCTCAAAATGAGGCAAGCAATTAAACAGGAAATGGAATCTTTGATATGTACCATTTAAATATCAGAGGGTGGGCCACTTTATATTTGCTTTGCTGATCATTTCCCATGTATTCAAACATGTTTAAATATGCTCATTATACAGCAGTTTTTATGGTCTTATTTATAGCAATTAGGAACCACATTTAATGTATTAGTAAAATCAATATACTTGTTATTCTTTAAATATTAATTAACCTCAAAATGTTTTGTGGAGCTGGTCGAGCTTGTCGCCCGTGCTAGAAATATGACGAGAATCTCATGAAATCCAAAACATAAGAAGACAAAATTTGGGGCGGTGTGTTGACTGAAATTATCCAGTATAATAGTTGATCTGAGAATGGGTTTCTATCTGGTTGGATCCGATTTATTTATGTATTATATGCAACAAGTAAATCTGTATATTTATTATTATTTATAAATAAATATAATATATAATAAATTAGCGTTAGACATGTGTTCATTTATTGTTGCGGTGGTAACGACGCGCTGTGTACCTAACTAATGGTAATTAACTGAGTTACATGTTACTTTTTTATCTTTGAATGTGATATGTACAAAACTTTAGATTTTTTACTATTTTAAACTAAATTATACATTATCAAAAATAAATTGAATACAAATACAATTTTATTTTTCTAATAAATGAAACAACCACAAATTTAAATCATTCTTATGTTAAACATTTTATGCCCTGATAATTATCTACAAGTACATATTGACAACTACTAATAAATAAGCAATAACTTAGATACCTAAAACCAATGTTATAAATATATTGTTTATTAAAATAAACTCTTGAAGTTGTTCTCTATATTGTACAATGCTTGTGATAAAATTGCAGGTTCTCTCTTTTGGTTTGTAGTTGTTTCAGGAACACTTTGATGGGTTTTTTCAGTGGTATGGTTAAATAGTGAAGTAAATGCATCCATCTGTATGTAGTTCAGCGATGAAAGAATGACTCCTTTGTTAGGATATGGAGTGGGAGTAATGGAATTATTGGTATATCTTGTGTTGCTTATGTTTTGAGGTACTGGAACACTTGGAGATACAGGTGGCAGCTGAATTGTTGGTCCTTTTTCAGTTGGTGGAAGAGATGGTTTCGGAACATCTAAAAAATTTAAATAAATTACACTTCTTTGTGATTAGATTGTTTTGAAATTTAAAAAAGAAATATAAATAATTGCATACCTAAATTGTGGATTATCCGTTCCATTTCTCTTAGCTGTGTTTGTTGTTGTTGAACAGTGAAGTAAAGATCTGTAATTGTTCCTGTTATATGTTTCATTTCTTCTTCGCGCTTAGCTTCTTTTGCAGCCTCTTTATTGCTTTGTCTGAAAAAGGGTAGAGAAATAGCAAAACGTAACATACGTAAATACAAAACGTAACAAACGTAATTAATGCAAAACAATTTTATCTCCTCATCTCACCTGTTATATTCAACAATAAGGAGCCCAGCACCAATAACAAATATAACTGTTTCGCCAAGAAGATTAGCTCCAAGTTCTATAGCCATTTCTTGACTGAGAACCGGGATGTTAACTGGTTTTCCTAGATTTAAAATCCACATTTTGGCCTTTACTTCACACCAATTATAAACTGTAAATCACATAAATAATAATTTATTAATCGAAATGGAATGCAATAGAAAATTTGGTAGTCTTTTCAATAACTAACACTGAGCTGGTGGCATGCAAACATAAGTTCTGAAAAAGGGACTATTTTTGGCTCTCTCTTTACAGGCATTTGCAATAGGTTTACTGATCTGTTTTATTAACAACACAGATAGTTTTGCAATAGGAAATGCTCCAACAACCATTATTGTTAAAATTACAAAACCGGGATATAAATTGACGTCTTATTATAACATAATATTCTGAAAGGCTAATGTAATATCCTAAATAATCGTATTTTCGATCGAAGACAATAATTCTGATCTAACATCTACTTGACTTGACATTTTTACATATTTATGAATTGATTGAACAAAGACAAGAACAATTAAGTCATTCGGTTTTACGAACTTAAATAATAAATATAAACTGAATGCGGATTGCGGATAACAATTTACTATTTCGTACCCACTACATTTATAAATAATAATAATAAAACAAAAACTAAAAACCAAATCAATCTCTATTTTTTTCATTTTTTAATTTACTTTAATACCATTATGAAAGTAAATTAAAGATTATTATAGTATTAAAAAAACGTTATAATTATAGTTTTTTTGACTCTACAAAATATTATCTAAGTTTTTTAAGAATCAAACTATGATAATGTAGATTATTAAGATATATCATAATTATTAAAAAATAAAACAATCTGAATTTGGCAGACAAATAGTATAGTACACCAAAGAGTACTTTTATATATCTGAAAGGTACTTCTGTCGTCTGTACTGTACTTCATACTTCATTTCATTCATATTTGCACCCATAGAGACATATATACTGAAAAAGTTTGCACCTGTTAAAAGAGAAAAGTTGGATTTGTTTTTAAAGGTTTTGACTAAAATCCTTTTCGGTCATTTTAAAAGAAAACATGTTTACACATTTTAGATGACTATATGATTATATTCGTATTATATGATTATCATCGTGTTTTAAAATTAATTAAAGTAATAATGCGACGGTTACCTTTTTGTAAACTTTTAACAATTTTAAGTTTTTCTTTTTTAGCTATTTATTTATATTCTTTAAGCACAACAAGAAAAAAATCGTATAGTCTCACGGAACATTTCCAGCCAAGACTGCAATTTATGTAAGTAATAATTGAAGAAAAAAAAAAAGGTATTTTAACAAATTTTATGCGTTTAAAAGAAGTTTGACATTCTATATTATGTTTGTTTTTGTCTCTATAAAATGTTGTTATATTAATGTACTTTCTTGTAGGAACAGAAATGATAATAGTAGTCATATTACTAAAAGGATAGTAATGTCTTTCGTCGTTTGCGACTCAAGATTTAACGAGTCTTTAAATGTTATAAAGTCTGTGCTAATATTCACCAAAACACCTGTTTATTTCGTAATTTTTACTGACAATAACCTTCAAGCTTTATTTAATGATACCCTGACCAAATGGAAGTCCTTAGTAAATGGGCAGCTAGATTTTGAACTGCAGAGAATCAACTTCCCTGAAGCTCACAAGGAAGATTGGATGAACTTATTCAGTAAATGTGCAGCTCAGAGGTTGTTCATACCAGTGAGTAATAATTTGTAAACCACCTAATAGTGTAATGGGTCTGTAAACTTAATGCAAGGCAATATTTTTAATAACTATTCTACTTTTGAATTAAATCTTTTCAACAGCTAATTTTGAAATACTCTATTACAGAAACTTATTCCACACATAGACTCCATGATATATATAGACACAGATACATTATTTTTGGGACCAGCTGATGAGCTATGGGAGGTTTTTGCATTATTTAATAGTTCACAGATTTCTGCTATGGCTCTTGAAGATGATAACCCCAATGTTTCATGGTACCCGAGATTTGCAAAGCATCCTTTCTATGGAAAGTATGGTAAAGTTACTTCAGGGTCATAAAATATAATACACTTGATTTTGTTTCTCATTTATATTTAACACCTGATAATATGGTTAGTGACAATTAAATCCACTGAATGCAAATACAATAATCTTTTTGTGTTCAAAAATATATTTTATTTAGTGATATGCCTATCCTATATATAATTTTCTTTCCTAGGCTTAAACTCTGGTGTAATGTTAATGAATCTGACAAGGATGAGAGATTTTGGCTGGACTGATTATGTTACTCCTATAATGTTAAAATGGAAACTTAATATTCCTTGGGGAGATCAGGTGGGTTTTACTAATTCCAAACAGAAATTAAACATTAATCCTTGTTCCCCTAATCCATGAGAAACCCTTATTTTTATACATGAGCTAGTCTGATGACATTAATTTGACCCTTTGTAATCTCTGTTTAAAGTATATCGGATAAAATCATAATTAAAAAAAATGATGAATAAAATCATCTAGTAATATTTGGAGAATAATAATATTGACATACATCAGCCTAAGAAATATTTACTATATACTTACTATTTACTATATACCTAAAAGTCAAAGTGTAGTTTCTTAAATTTAGAATAATTATATTTTACTTTCAGGATATAATAAATATAATATTTCACTATCATGAACGTGCAGTATATATTCTCTCCTGTCGCTATAACTACCGCTCTGATCAATGTATGTATGGCGACGCTTGCTTGGATGCAACTGAACATGGGGTGTTTATACTTCACGGCAGTAGAAGAATTTTCCATAACAATAAGCAACCCGCATTTCAAGTATGTATTATTAACAATGTGATGGTCCCTATAAGGTTGTTACCTTGCTATATATACACATTAGAAAATTAGAAATACATGAATATACTATGTGTCATAATCCATGTGCAACTATGATTTACATAGTCTTTTGAATTCATCATTTTTAAAGAAGTAAAGAGTAAAGAGTAAAGATAGTAGCAGCATATATATGTTCCATTGTTTGGCATGGGTTAGGGAGATACTTATTAGGTAGGTAGAGGGTATGAGGCATTGTCCATTACATGATCCCACTGCAGATTAGCAGATTTTAAAATATTTTAGGATTATTTTGTTAATTTTAGCGCTAACCTGTATTGAAGATGATAAACTCCAACTTTTGCTGTCTGTATAATTTTAATTAAAAAATATATTTTGTAGACAACTGTAGCTTAGCCAAAAGTATGGTAGTCTCAAAAATCTTTTTCATAACATTTAATATTTTATAAGATCCTTCAATCTCCATGTTTCTTTTTTGGTTGCTTTTCTCATACTTAGAGCTTCTCATACTGCCAGCTTAAAGTATAAAAATATTGATAGATATATTTTTTACAGGCAATATACCAAGCCATTGAGGAGTATGAGATTGGAATGGATCCTATGAAACTTCTCTTAAAAATAGACAAATATTTCTCATCATCATCACCATCAAATTGTGGAAATCTAAAAGAAGCTTTTATTAAAGTACCACTGGCCACACTTCAAAATCACTATGCCAAACCTAAAAGATAGTAATAAAACTCAAAGATGTACCTACTATAATATAAAAAACATACTTGTATTTTATGTTAGGTTAGAAATTTTTGTCACTTTACAGTATTTTAAATTAAAATTGCTATGTAGACAAAAGCATAGTATACATGTCTATAATAAATATAAATCCATGTTAAAGATAGCAGTTGTATTACGCTTTTCACCTAAATTTTAAGATCAACTTTTACTTTGTTTGAGAAATAATGTTGTTGTATTCTCTCCTTTAAGAAGTATAATTTAGGGTTATACTTTCATTGTTATTATTTATTTACTATCTGTATTTTTATTCAATTTACATTAATGTTTTAGTGGTGGCTATGTAGCCACTGGGTATGTACCCATAACCATATAAATTATGTTTTGACCAAATACTTATTGTAATATACTGGTATTGATAAATAGTACTTTACTTTTTAATGTAAACTAAGGGGGACAATTAAGTTAAACTGATGAATTGATAAATTCAATATCAATGTATAAAAAGATTCTATTATGTATATACTTAATTTGAAATACTTATTGTAATCTCCATATACAACAATTTGAAAAGTATAAGTAGTGCATAAACATTAAGCTCAATTAATAATTTAATTAATACAAAATATCTACATGGTAGTATTATTACCAGCATTATACATACTGATATATCGATAAATACTGTAGGTAGTTATAAAAATGTTGAGTAAACATGCATGGTATTTTTGTTTTTAGATTATTTTTTCATTTATGATTATAACTTGTTAAAATTTTTAAAAATTAGAGCAGATTAAGTTTTTAAAGGGTTTTGAATATACAGGGAGATTTTTTTAGAATTTACCCAGGAGGTTCAGAATCGGTAGTATAATCGTTTATTGAAATAAAAAAAAAACAAAGTTCTTTTTGCCAAAATAAATGCCATTCTATTCCCTAAAAACCAGAACGTGTTGACAATGCGGTAGTCATTCATAAATACCTAAATTTTACTGTGCACGAACTTGTGTGCGTGTTAGTTATGAATGATCGCGCGTAAAATGTGTTGCGTATAAATCACGCACTTTTTGAGATAAGTTCAAATGAATGTTAATTACTTACGAGTGATTTTAAATATTTTTTATAGAACATTATTTATGTCTAGAATTTAATTAAAAAAATGGATACACTTAGAAAAGTCATCCTGTATACTGTTAAATTTTCTAATTTTTTGTAATTGTTTGAAATTGCAAACACTATACTGTATATTCTTATTTTTTACTAGCTTGGCCCGCGACTTCGTCCGCGTGGAATTTAAAATAAAAAAAAATCTAAAATAAAAGTAGCCTAAATTACTCATTATTACATCAGCTATCTGTCAGTGAAAGTCCCGTCCAAATCGGTCCAGCTATTTCAGAGAGTAGCCGGAACAAACAGACAGACAGATAGATAGAGAGACAAAAATTGTAAAAAATGTTATTTTGATACATGTATCGTGTATATATCCATATGCATTTAGTAAAAAGCGGTTATTTTAATATTACAAACAGACACTCCAATTTTATTTATCTGTATAGATTTATAAACATCTTTGTAATGGAAGTTTAATGTGTTATGGCAAATTGTAATATTAATAGTATTACAATTTATATTTGTAATGACTATGAATATCTGATACCACCTAAATATTTCTATGACCAATGAATTTGTATCCTCGCTAATTTCAGGCTTTTTTGGATCAAAGTATTATAAATATTGAAAAAGTAATATAAGTAAAAAAAAAAACTATTTTACTTAGGAATACCTGTGTACATGTGGCTTAATTAATAGTTATATTTGTGCAACCATGTAGTTATATTTGTGTAACTTTGTTTAAAATGTTTACTTTATACACATTTTGAGCCATGGCAGCTCAGTGTCATGGCCTTAGCTTTTAATTTAGTACACTTGAGTAATCTGAGATAAAATCCCAGTGCCAGCACCAATGAAATTGTTAATTTTAAGTACTGATTTATTTTGATGAAGGAAAACATTGGAGAAAACTTGCAAATTTTCGAAATAATGATGAAGAAAATGTTTCAAAGATATGTGCAGTCTGCCAATCCGCAATACAATCCCTTTCGGTATAGAGAAAGCTTTTGACCAGTTGTGGAACATGTACAGGTTCTTATTTTCTTTTTTTACTATACATTTTACACATATTTAGAAATTGACTCAGAGTACAAACTTATACATCTATTTACTTCATAGTATAGTATCTGGCATGGAGATTAGTTTAAATTCTGTTTGTGCACGATTACTTAGAGCTTTATAGTTAATTTAAACATTTATTTTCATAAATTTTTGTTTATATCTAACACTATTGTTACCATGTTTAAAGTAGTATGTTATATTATGTTAACAGACTAAGGTGAAGCTTGCAAAGAATGTCAATCATAGTATTGACGTGCTTGGTTAATATGAAAAAAATAATATTATGTACAAATAACATGAACAGTGAGAAGTAGAAGTAGTACACTTTTTTCGTTTCGCCTGGAGAGTGAGGTAATCAGGGCACGGAAATTTATATTTATATATTACATTTTCAATAAAATTTCCTCATATTTAAAATGATTTTAAAACACACACATAATAAAAACTGTTAAATTTCTTATTTTCATTTCGCCTCAAGTGTCGTAAATATTGAAGACTGGGCTACAGAATAAGTAAGTAATTGTATTCTAGAGGTTTGTGTAAGACATCACATTATTTCAAACTCCATTAATAAGTACCTTTTGTCGGCGACCCTATTGGCGTGGGGAGTAGTGACCCTGCCTTCTGCGCCAGAGGGTGTGGGTTCGATCCCCACTACCGGAAAAATAGTGTGTGATGAACATGGTGTTTTTCTAGTGTCTGTATTATTGCATATGTTCGAATAGAAGAAAGCAATGTCGTCCAAGAAAAAAGGGATTCGATATAGATCAAAAGATAGGTAAGCTGAAGTGGCAATCCGCAGGCTATATAGGTTGTGGAACCGACGATGGGTAAGTAAGGTTTTTGAGTGGCCTCTTATATATATCGCAGTGTAGGACGACTCTTCACTAGATGGGGTGACGACCTTTGCAGATGTGTTTGAAGTTGATGAATGCAAGCTTAGAATAGTGTTTCGTGACCGTCTGTGCTGGAGGACTATACCCAGCCTTGGACTAAAATAGGCTAAAATTATGATGATGATGACCTACGGTTACATTGAGTGACCCTCTAAGTGGACAACACCATCGGTGCCTACTTGTCGAGACCTCTTATGGAGTACCCGTGCCAAGATGGGTGCTGGACTATCAACGTGACATGTGGGGTTTCACACGGGTCGGCGCTCTGGCTAACCTTCCGAGTTCCCTGCTTAGAGGTCAAGGAGCCGAGGACACATTACACTTCTGGTGCGAGGAACAAATGGCTACACTTACTAGAATTGAGGGCACAGGAGTGAACATGTTGACCCAATTTCCCTGTGTCTTGTAACCGAGGCCGATTCGGGAGAAGAACAGTGTTGTTATTGTGTTTGGCCAATCTGGTTCTCCTCCGTGACTTGATGAGGCTACTACAGATATAGCGTGAGAGGTGAGTATGTGGTAGGGAGGAGGAGTGTCGGTATTGCCCCGCACCGTTCTCCGTGGCCGAAAGGTGGAAAAGGTCTGGAACCGAAGACCTGCTTCACTACTTTCCTTTGGGAGCCTTACCGATTGTTAGCTAGAGCTAGTACTCTCCTGGCCCCCACAGCCTCGGGGAAATTCCTTGCACGTGCAAAAGAGGAAGTGTGCGTGATGTAAACTTCTTACTTAAAACTAGCAGCCATAAGCTTATGTCACAGTCATTGTCAATGTATCTAATGTAACCAAACTAATTTTACTGTTAATTTTAGCTTATTAAAACCTTATATTCATTAAAGGTTTTCTCTTATTTAAATTTAATAAGCTAAGAGAAAAAAAAGCAATATGGATAAATATCTTCGCCCTGAAAGGTTTGATATCGACCCGTCAAATAACTCTGGCACGAGAGATTGATACACTGGCGTAAAACTTTCGAAAGTTTCATTTCCGCGCAGAAACCGACCGCTCCAGAAACAGATGCACAGTCGGTTCCTCCGCTAGAAAAATGGGACAACATAAAGTTTCAACTTTTGGTAAATCATATACCACCAAATATCTACACATATATAAGGGAAGCCACGAAGAAGCTATCACAATACTGCAAAAACTGTATGTAAAACCAAATAATCTGATTTTTGCTAGACACATGTTAGCAACAAGGAAACAACGACCAGAAGAAAGTATCGACACATATTTACAAGCTTTGAAACTACTTTCTAAAGATTGTGACTGCGGCTGTTGATGCAGAAATAAACAAAAACGATAGCGTGCGTGATGCTTTAATATCCGGTATATCATCGCAAAAAATCAGACAAAGGCTTTTAGAAAACTTAACTCTAATACTTGATCAAGCTTACAACCAAGCACTCTCCAGAAACTGTAGAGATCAACTCTTAAAGCTTCAATACTGTGTCTTTAAATGCTGTTGCCCTAAAAGAACCAACATTGGTCTCTCCGAAACCTCAAACTGTGCACGACGAGACCTGCTCTTCTTATAATAATCCTCGATGACGAAAATGTTTCTTTTGTGGGCAACAAATACATCCTCGTAAGAACTGTCCTGCATTTGAAAAGACTTGTTTAGCTCTACAACAAAAGGGGCACTTTGCCAATGTTTGCAGAAGCTCTTCTAAACCTACAAATTCTGTGGTAATAGGTTCTGAAGATCTTTCCCTTTGTATCACAGCAGCGTCACCTTTTTCGTTACGTAAAGCTACTGTACCCGCTTATATTCGAGGACTAAGAGCAGAAGCACTTCTCGACACCGGCAGCTCCATCAGTTTTATAAATGACAGCTTTGCAAGACTATGCGGGTTAAAAAATCCTGCAATCAGATTCTTTCTATGGCCTTCCTTGATCATACTTCACAAGTAGAAGGTCAAACTTTGCAAACCCTGAAAA